GCAATTGTTATAAGAATTACCTAGGCACGTTGACACATGAGGACAGGAAAGAACGCTACGAGAACACGTCTTCACTATATCCGTTTGCTTTTTGACCATGTTGTCGGTGATATTTTATTCAGTAGGCATAGCTGTGCATACTTGAGTGCATTTGTTCAGTTTGACTTCGAATGTGTGTTTTGCAAGGAATTTAATCAATACTCTTTCTCACGGTAATCAATACTTCAAACTCTTATGGGTTCTAGATATATCTGTGAGTACTTTGCAAGGAATTTAATCCGGACACCTACTCTTTTGCAGAAGTACAGGGTAAGCAATTGAGGAGCAAATACCTTCCTGGTCATTACATGGACACCCAACAGACAATGGAAGCATACACATTTTGGTTGGCAGAGTTTCGTGGGCACAATTTTTGGCAATACTAATACCTCTATTGCTGATATGCATCAGAAACTGTCGTGATTATGTTGATCAGTGTACAATATCTTTGCGTGTCACCTTCAATTGAGAAGTTATAAGACGCTTGGCGTGACATTGTAGCTAACATTTAAGGTAAACGCATTAAATCAGGCGACTGATTTTGTCAATTGTCAGTCCGTTCAATAGGGTCTGTGCATCTGCGTGGCCCTTACTAGCGCATTGACTGGCATGCTTCCATACGAGTTTGGTTCTTGTTTCGGTTCGTTTGGTTTCAAGTGCCCAGGCTGTGTCACATCGTTTGGTTGCTCGCGTTTTGGAGTTTTGCACTATCTAGCAGATACGCTATATCCTTGCCGGCCTGTAATTTTTTTGAATTTTGCTTGTAAATCTTTACACGCAGTCCAAGCCTGCCCGTCAGCTATATATACGTGGTTGGGGGCTTTTTATGGTTCGCGTATGGGATAAGCTCTGCCGCAGTCCGTCCCTCTCGTCTCCTTAGCTTTCTTTGGTAAGCAATTAGTCGCTCGTTTCTTTTCGTTTCTCGCGAATCCAAGGCTGGTGGTGTTCGCCGGCGTGGCGGGTTGTCGCCGTGTAACCTTGCTTGGAATGACGCGGCCGCGCGTGGGATGGCTTCCATGAGGTCCTTTTCCCGCACATGTAGGTGTTGGGGGGCGGCGGATGCGGAGCTCCTTGCCGCAAAGTGCATGGTGGTGGCCGGAGAAGAAGGAGCCGTAGATAGGCTTGCTACCGTAAAGGGAGGATCACGCTTACACCCATGCTTGCTGCAAGTCGGCGGAGGAGTTCTACCCCGACCTTGATGATTGAGTCGGCCTTCCTAGGTTTCATTGTTTAGCTATGTATATGAACTTTGGTTGTGTTGTGAACTTTGTAGCGCGAATTGGTTTTTTAAATTTACAGAATGAACTATGGTGGATTAGTTCAGCTGGGACCTTAAAGTTCCCGCAAAAATCGTTTCAGGGGGACCCTAAAACAATTTTGCAGTACCGGTTTATACAGTCTACTAGAGTTGCTCTTATGTGTTTGGATGCACATGCACTATAATTTAGCTTGATATGATTACCTTAGCACATCAACATGGTGAGCTTATTAGCTATCATCGTGACTCATTGTATGTTACATAGGAGCAAAACCACAATGGCGGCGAATTGGACAAAGATTATGAAGTTTTTCTGCCCATTTGACCAGATCTAACGTGTGCACTCGTGCCTATTGTTTAAAGTAATCATCTCCTCTATCAAACGTTTTATAGCGCAATCATTTATTTGTGTGTGACATGTCTGACTTTTGGATCCCTCCCCGAGTACACCATATAACCATCACTGCTAGATCACCATACTCGTGATTCCTTTACTAACCTCTCTTTTTTTAGGTTCATATAACCCAAAAAACAGTTATGTGCAAAAAAAAAGAAATTACAAGGTGATGGATGAATCCATCTATCCAACGCCTTTTTTAGGAAACATAATAATGATTAAGAATCAGACTAGTCTTGACTCAATTCATCCTTGAAGAACTTGATGTAGTTGCTGCTTAGCTCTATATTTGAGCAGCTCTAGATCTTTCCTGACTTATAATTTCTAAGAGGTGATGCTGGGGTTTATACGCTTGAATATTATGTTATTTCTCTGCATCCAGATATGCCAACAACTCGTAATAACTATGCTCATAGCCAAGCCAAAGGGTAGTTCGTTCAAAGCCAAGTTGATTTCCTAGAGAACCGAAGTATCTCCTTTTCTTTGT